TATGGTCTTTTGCTTATATTCTAAACTAATCAAATATTAATTGATGTATTAGCTTAATTTTGATTTTTCTATTACTATTTAGTAAAGAATCTAAAAATCATTTATAAATTAGTAAATTAAATTTTTTAAGAAATTCTTAAAAAAATATCTAATATTTTATTCATATATTTAAAAGTAAAATATCAAAATATATATAACAGAACTATAATCTATTAAGCAATTATACAAATAGAGAGAAAGATAAAGCTTTATTATAATTTTTTTATATCTATAATATATATGAAACTAAAAATAAAATGTAAAAGTTGAAATATTTTGACTTTAAGGTCATAGTCAAAATTAAAAGTTAAAATTAATTACGAGGGTTGAATTACATTATAAAGTTCAAAATCAATTATGAAGGTCAAATACATTATATTAAAATTGATTATAACAGTTAAAATATTGATTATATTTTTATATAAAAATCATTTCTATATTTGAAATTTATCATTACACAATAAATTTATATATAAGAATTATCAAAAAACAATTTTTTGTAAAATGTGTATCACTAAAAAAGGCAATAATCTGCATAACTACATAATATATGATATAAATGGTAACGAATAAAAAGCTATAGTTTTTTGTAGTGAGTAATTAACTTTCTTCACATTTTGCTATATACATTTTAGATTAATTCTATTTAAATCTATCTTTTTCTTTTTTTATTATTATTACTGATCTAACTATAGGCTCAGCTAGTTCTTAACAAAGACATCAAATTGAATTTTGAATTATGATTATTTTCTGCTTTTCATATATTATAGTCTATTTAAACTATGTTATGTATATTTGATAATCAGCGCTAACACATGTTAACTTAAAAGTAAAACCTAACTGATAGCCTTTATAGACTATCAATTAGTACCCCAGCGTATCAGATATTTAGTCATACTACTGGATAGAGAGGTTAAGTAAGATACTCCATTTTAGATTCATAAAATGTACCAAATCTGCTATATTATTAAATAACTTAAGAATTAAATCTGACATCTTCTCCTAGTATAGGGCTTAAACACATATATAGCTGAAGATAATACAAGATTAACTAACTAAAATTTATAACTTATGTTATTATTTCACATGTCTATCATTAGATGCTATCCGTAAGCTAACCCTTTGCAGACAATACAATACTTACTCACTATCAATGTTAAAAATTTACCCTAGAAAAATGATTTACAAAGTTATTAGATTTAATTTTATATTGATCATATTAAGAAAGATCTTTGATCAACATACTTTATTAGAAAGTCATGCTGATTTATTTAATTTAAAGAATTTACAAAATTCATTTAATTCATCTGATTTATTTTGATTGGCTTATTTTATTAATTCTTTACATATTTATTATTTTTATTATAATTATTATTTTATTATTTCTTTTATTTTTTATTATTATTATATTTTATCTTCTATTTTATATTTTTATTTTATTATCTTTTATTATTATTTTATAGTCAAAGTTTATTAAAATAATTAGTTTATAGTATAGCAATTAGTTAGTTATAGCAAATTAATTTTATATAAATAGAATAACTTTTTATTTAAATCATAAATTAACTCATTTATAAGTTGCTTACGAGTTTCAAGTTATAATAAAGAAATCAATTTAAATTCATATAAATTTACCTTTTCCTTTAGCATTATCTTTTATCTAAAATTATTATACTAACTTACTATTGAGTTCATCATTATGAGTTCAACTAATATATCTTAAATTCTAAGATATGATAAATTGCTGAGTTGATTCAAGTATAACAAATATTTGTAGGACTTAAAGAAAATTCTAAGGTCAGAAACTCCAATGTGTAGAATTAGCTACTGTAGCCTTTTAACTTAGATGTTAAAATAACTGAAAATGAATCTGATGATACTATTACAGGCCAGCTCCTATTATACTATTAGTTCTACCTATCAAAGTGTTTTCAAATAGGTCTGCTAATTATAACCTTTATTTGTTATTAGGAAAGTTTGAAACACAAAAATGCCATACATAGATAGTTTCAAGAGTTATCATATTCTACAAATTTGTGATCTATTCACATGTATAGTTTGCACACATTTTATGAAATTTATTTCTGAAATTAAACTAGTAAACGCATAGTAAATTAATACTATGATTTGCATTTAGCTGGTGCTGAACTAAGGTCTATTGCAGTATAACTTATAATAGTAACTCACATTTTACAATTTAAGTCAGGATAGCTAATCTATTTCTTTTTCGCTTCTATTAATTAATTTTAAAAATTTTTATTTATTTCGTTTAATTCTAGTAAAATTTACCTATTTCAATTTTATTATATTAATTTAGTCTGAATTAAATAATTAATAATAAAATTTTCTTTTTAAGAGTTTTGTAATACTTTAGGGTAATACTTAAATAGATTTTTATAAGGACAAAAATTTTTTTTTAGATTTATAACATCATATGATCGTAATTCTGATTAGCTTTATGTATTTTGACTCTCATAATTAATTTTGACTCTTGTAATATATTTCAATCCTCATAATTAATTTTGACTCTCATAATCAATTTTGATTTTTCAAATTTTTTAACAAATAGTCAAAATTAATTTTGACTATTTCAATTATCATAATCATTTTGACCATTTTAATTTCAGTTTCATGTATAGTCTATAATTATCTTCAATCAACTTCACCATTTAAATTAATCTTTAACATGCTTTATGTAATAAATCTGATTTTATAATCTAATTTGTTAAAATTATATAAATCTTTATAAAATTTATAAAAATCTTTATTTATAATTGAAAGGTGTTTACAAAATAAAATAGTATCATATATAGTAAAAAATATTTATTACTAATCAATCATAAAATTAAAAAATCTTTCTCTTTCATAAATTTTACCTAGAATTTAATTCAAATCAAAAGAAATTTAAAATTTGTTCATTTTTTTTTAAATTTTATTCAAGAAATTTAATATTAAAATTCCTTTATTAAATCAGATTTATACTAACTATTATGTAATGCTTAAAAATAAGTAATACATTAGATCAATTATAATATATTTATAAAGTTAAAATATAGTAAATATAATAATTCAGACTATCTTATATTATTTTGCTTTACAAATCATTTTTGTAAAGCATCTGAATTATAGCATTTCTATTTTAAAGCATCTTGATAATACTTAATTAGATCTTATATAAAGAATTAATTATTAATATTATCTATTCTGTCAAAATTATGCTAATAATTTTTATAATTTATTTCTTTTTATATCTATAATATAATATTAAGGTTAAAATATATTTACATATTTTTAAGGGACTACTATATTTCATGAAATAAAAATTAAAATTATACAAATATTCTTTCATTTAAAATATTTTTATATTTTATCTATTATTAATTTATCTTAAAAAGATTTAATTTATTTACAATTATGCTAAATAATGATTTATTTATATAAATTAATTTTATTTAGTTCAGATAAAAAATCAAAAAATCAGTAAATTTTCATGTTTAAATCAGAGATTATATATCAAATTGCATATAGTAGAATATATTACTCTAATATTATAAATAATATTACAATATAACTGAAATTAATTAAGATTTAGTATTAATTTAAGATGAGAATCAGCTACTTCATCTCAAAAAATTTGCTAAATCTTTTTCAGAAGATTTTTTTAAAGTTTTATTACATTTTATAATTATATATATTAGTCATAATATTATCAAAATGCTGATGATTTATTTATTATATCAAGCTAATTTTAAAATTAGGTTAATAATATATAAAAGTGAGTTATTATTATATTTTAAAAAACAGAAATATTAAATTAGATTGAATTACTATTTAATTTATTAGTACAATTTTTAAGATAATGGAATATTGCAAAAGCATGATTTGTAAATTAATAAATTGGAAAATTTTACATATTGATATTTTATTATAATCAGTATATTATCTTATTGAAAGTTCACTATTTCTTGATTTTGATGCAGCTTATAATATTTAAAATAAGAAACAAATAGTGAAATCAACCATTTAATCTAAATGTTTTTTCATCAAGTATATTGAATTTGAAAATTTTTTAAATTCATCACCTCTGATTTCTGTCAAAACCAATTTCATAAATTTTATCAAAGCTTTATTTGCAGACTCTGGATGTATTTATAGATTAAATTGGATTGAATTGGATTAGTTTAGATTTTTATATAATCCAATATGTGTTTATAAATAAATGAATCAGATTATGGATTTTTGTATAACATTAAAAAAAGAGTTAATGTTATTTAGATTAAATAAAAATTTGAACAATAAATATCCAAAGATATATAACTTTTTCACTAATTTTTTGAATCAAATTAACTTATCTTCTGAAGAAATATTTGATGATAACATTAATTATCAATCTTTCATGAATGTCTATAAATGTATTGAAAGAAACAGTTCTTTAAGAAAAGGTTTCAGGCAAGTAAGAAGGACAAGTAGTATTTTTTGGTTTAATCACATAAGTAATAATTGGAAAAATGTAGAATTTAAGCGCCATTTTAGAATAACAAAAACTATATTTGAATAATTATATACTGAAATAGCACCTTTACTATTACAAAGAAATAATTAAAGAGACGCCCCAAGAATTCCAATTAAACATAAAGTATCATTAACTTTGTGTTTTTTAGCTACCGGTCAAAGTTATTGAACATTTGGACAATTATTTGCATTAGGAAATCAACTATATGTTATATTATTAGATCAGTTCTATATGCAATTACATGTCACTTTCTTTCATCATTGTTCTGATAAATAAAATGTTTTAACATTCTTTTGAATTAATAGGTTTCCTAATAATCATGTCGAATTCAAACGATTAAAAAAAATTGAATTTATTAAAAAATTATTTGCAATTTTGATTGGTCAATATAATGAATGTGACGCAACGCGATTTCCTAAATTTCTGCTGCAACACTTTACTGGCAAGGATGGCATTTCTAAGAAAACTCGTTCAATCTCACTCTTTTCATTTTCCACTTTCTCACCTCTTTCTTCGGTTCAAATGTTAACGGGATTGCTCAAACAACAAAGAGATTACCATCGAAACCTTTAAAAAATATTTTCAACAGGGTCATTTGATGTTTTGAGGTAGGAAGGTTGTTATTATTTAGATAAGACTCACTTCATTCCTAAAATAGAGGCTCTCCGTGCTCCTGCCACACTTTCCCTTGGTCCTCGTCGTTTCGGAAAGACACTATTCCTCTCTACTTTGTCCTCTTACTATGACGTAAAGAACAGAGAACGATTTAAACAATTATTCCAAGGACTATATATCGGAAAAAATCCTACACCATTAACGTCTGAGTTCCTCGTTCTCGAACTCAATTTGCTGGACTTCGCACTAACGGAACGTACGAAATCTTTACAGTAGACTTTCACGGAAGTTTGAATGTAACTATATCAAGGTTTATGTACCGATATAAACAAGAATTAAGGGATCATTTCCAAGATGTTGACGAAAATAGAAATGTTTGTGAATTTCCGGAAATTATTGAACGCGGTGATATTAAGTAATAACAAGGTATTTTAGACATAATTTATTCAAAAAGTACTAAGCTAATATTCTTATGTATTTTTAGCTCTATGTTTGCATCGATGAATACGATGTATGAACGAAGCCCTTACAAACCAAACACCCCTCCAAGCTCTCACCAATCATCACAAAAACGAAGGTGACTTCAAAATCGAATTAATGGAAAGTTCGTTTAAACAATTATTCAGTATATTGAAGACTGCTTGTGATGGAGGCATAACTCGTGTTTTCTTAACTGGTGTGACTCCTGTCGCTATGGCTGAATTCACCTCGGGTTTTAACATTTCGGTAGATTTGACGCTAGACGAAGAATTTTGGGACTTATATGGATTCAAGAAAACGGAAATTGAGATTCTCTTGGATAAGGCTTTTGGAAATAATTTATCAGATAATATTAAAGAGAAAATAATGTCATGGTTAAAGGAGGAAACGATGGGTATTTTTTTCACCGTGATCAACCTGAAGGGATTTTTAACATTGCACGTGTCCTGTACTGTATCGGAAAGTTGATGAAACAAAAGAAAAAATTGGATTATAGATGAGATCCTTCAGTCGTCCTTAATACACTTCTTAATTTCCCCCGGACCCGCAAACATTGCCCTCTCAAACAACATTAGACTTAATTGTTAACAATTCCCTTGGAAAATCCATCCTTACTGAGCTAACAACTGATCGTACCCCGTTATTATCATCACATATCAGCCAAACTCATCACCCGCATCATTACAACACAGTTTTCGAATACCAAATCTTATTGCCGAGAGGGAGTTTATCGCAGAGGCGCTTAAGATTTATGACTGGAGAAAGGAGGATTTAATACCTGTACGGAATTGTTTGCAGATTTTGGAGGCAGAATATAACATTGAACCTCTTTGCCGATTTATAGAAAAAGCTTTACTAAAGCCATTAAAGGACAATAGTTTTAAGCATTCAAACGAAGAGGCATTGAAACAAGCTTTTATGGATACTTTAATTCTCATTCTTCACGCAGATATTGAACCAGAATTTCAGGTGTATTCTCAGAGCTCGAATTTTGGTGGAAAAGCCATTGATTTAGTGAAGTCAAGTACCGGAAAAATGATAGCAATCGAATTTGATAATATCAAAATGGAAAATGTTAAATTGGACGGAGCTCGAGGTAGTTGGCAGGAAGCAACTGACGTTTCACGATCATTGTTGGAAAATCAGAGGATGAAATTTTAAGCCTTGAAATTGGTGATAAATACCGGCCAAATCAAAAGACAGTTCGTGAAGCTTTAGAATCGAAGATTAAAAAGAAAAGCAACGAGTATTTAGATCCGTTAAAAAATCAACACGATGCAGAATTGAGCTGTATGTTTATTGTTTTGAGAGTAGGCTTGCATCGTCTAATTAACAGGAAGGTTTATTGTGTGGATGAATAATTTGTAGATATTAAACACAGGATTACAAAATTAAGTTTTGCCCCATATTTGTGTATGCATTATACATTATTAAGCAATAAGGTATATAATAATTACATGATAATAACTTTTTCAACCCGTTAATGTATTTAAAATGTATAACCGCGTATCGATTGTGAAGTATCAAAGTCGAATAAAAAATTATGGCAATTGAACTTGTATTTTACATGAATTACCAATATAGTTTTATTTTTCTGATGATATACAAATCATACATCCCACACCACATCATGAGATAGAAACGGAATCCGATTTATCCGATCCCGAGTGAAAAGGTTATTGGAAGTAGAGTTAGTAGAGGCAGAGTTATTGTTATCCATTGTGACGTTTCCTAAGGTTTAATATTAGCTAAATAAATCATGCCCTACATGAAATTGTTATCGAATATTCAATCCAAACTTGATTTATTGAAATAACATGTCAAACTCCTTTATCAGGTATCATTATTCACATATTGCCATAGATATCCTCTAGCAGACCTTCTGCAAATTCTCCAGATATTTGAGCTTTTAATTCCAGTGACACGTCGTGTTTCTGCTAAGAATGGAAATTCTCGGAAGATCCATCATCAAAAATCTCGAGTGTTTTTTTTCTGCGTATTTTTTTTTTTTGTCTTTTTAACGGCAATTTTAATAGCAATAGGGAGATTTTTCTGTTGCCATCGGTATCACGTGAAACAATATAATTGGTGGCATAGCCATATCCAATTGACGCACCTCATTTGACCATATAAAATTGACGCACCTATACCTGAGAAGCACGTGAATTATATGAATAAACTGTCACTTCATTTTTGACCACCTTTTTGTCACTCGTTATTTGTCACAGCGCCACCCTCTCTTGATTTGATTGGGATTAGGGTTTAGGGTTAGTTTATTTTAAAGCTATGCGGCATATTAATATGGGTGCCACCGAATGCATAATGCACCGTGTAAACTTATCCTTTTTATATTATATTATAATTATTAATTTTCACAAATATAGGAAGTTCAAAATACTAAAATGTGGCGTAGTTCGTTATCGCCTAAATTATATATTAATTGATTCGCTCGCTTACATAACATAATAAATCTTTTATTTCCCCACAAAATTGCTTACGTTATCAAATTAACTCCCCACCATAAAAAAAAATCTATTGAATAATTTTTCCGCATGACAAATGACAAATATTAAATCATTAGTAAACATTTGGTTAGATTAAGTACACTTTGGTTTGACAAGTTTATCACGAATCATTATACTTGAAATACTGTTCAACCATTGAAAATCTAAAAGATTTCTTTTGTAATACTTAATATTAGCTTTTATTCAATCAATACCAGCAATTTACCAGTACTTCCTTTTCTAAATTTACATTTCTTTGGTATTTTAACAAATATGGGCATCCGGTAACTTGTGCTTTTGAAATATTTATTTTAATTATAAAGGTTTTAATAAATAATAACTTTTTTTACAAATAAAATAAAATAAATTAAATAAAAGTTAAAATTAAATAGAACGCTACGTTTAAGAAAAAAAAAATTGCGTAATTTATTGTCAAAATTTGGAAAATTCAAATCGATATTATGATCAGTGATTTTTTTTGATAATTATACTTTTATTTCCCCGATAAATTTTTTAATTTAATGAAAATGAATGGTTTTTTATGTTCAATGAAATAATTTCTAAACAAAACTAAGATGTGTTCCAACAGAAGTTTGAACACGAATAATAATAAAATTAAAAATAAGCTAAATATATATTTGATATCAATCATTAAAGAAAGTCGAAATAATTTTTTGATAGAACGTTAAAAAAAAGGAAGATATATAATAATAATAATAATGCGGCAAACCTAATTTTGCTGATGAGATGTTCCTCCTTAGTTCTCATCAAGTACCTTTTTTTTTTGTAATTAGCTTAAAGAAAAACGCATCATTACCGTTCGGTTTCATGATGACATTTTTATATGTACAGATATGAACCATAATGAAGCAGAAAATTAAGATCGAACTAATATGTAAATATGGAGTTTTACTAAGCAAATGCACTTGCATGCGTCTATGTAACTAACTTGCTAATTGAAAAACACAACGTTATATTATAATGCTAAAATCATGATTTCTAAATTTAATAATAGACTTGCCTTTATGATAATGATAGTAATAGTAAATAATTTGGTAACTAAAGTGAATTATAATAATGAATATAAGGTTTAGCAAAGTTATAATAAGTATAATTATAATATAACAAATGTTTTTTTTTTTTTTAAGAAAATCCTCCCCAACTATATATATATATATATAATTTTTTTTTTTGATTGTTATCGAGATCGGTTAATGTAAATAATATTATATATCATGTAATTTATCGGACGTTATAGGAATGTAATACATGACCGCCACCGAATGGTCGTCTCTCTGGACTTTTGCCTTTACCAACATCTTTCCCCTCCACTTCGCGAGCAGATAACAAATATTTTAGGCCTGCCGCTGCTTTTTTCATATCTACAGAAGTGTTATGACCCTGTGGGAAATGAGTTCGGGCCGGGTTCATCTGTGAAATTAATCTTTCCTCTATAGTCTTTTCCAATTGTTGCTCAACTTCAGTTGAAAATGGTGTGCCTTTCATTGGAGGAGAATCCTACAAAATAAATAAATAAATAAATTTATTTTATCCATACATGAATGGTTCAAGTATCAGAAAAATTGAAAAAGATAACATTACCTTGACAATTATTTTATCAGCGTGTCCGCGGCTTCGTCCAGGTGATATCTCCAAATTCTCGATATCAGATTCGAGGCGAGTCTCGCTTAGCGAATGAATGGTATCCTGTGCTTCTTCCAAAAGATGTGCATATTCTTGAGCCGAAACCATCATTTCACTTAATTTACCCTCACATTTCACTTGGCGGTTTTCCAATTCGCTGACGCTAGCGCGTAAATGTTCATTCTCAAGAACAACCTGAGAAAAAAAAAGAAGGTATTTAAAAAAAAAAAACATTAAAAGAAAAGTCAAAAAAATAGGTTACTTGATTTAATTGATGCTTACTCTGCCAAGATCAGCCTGAATCATTTTTACGATCTGAGTAGTAGTTGCGCTAGAAAGTTTTTGAGAACTCAAAGATCTTTCTAATTGTATGGAAAGATTGACATTCATTTCTTGCGTATCTGAAAGATGTTGTTCAACCTCCACTACAAAAATATATATATAATAAAAGAATTGTAAGTATAAATGTTTACAAATTGAAGTTTAAAAATTTAAACGAAAAAGGTTTACCTAATTTTTTGGAGTATGTGTTCACTTTGTTTCGCGATTCCCACATATCCTCGGCCATATCGTTCATTTGACCAGTAAGAGTATCCAATTCCTTACGGAATCGTTTTAGCTCCCTTCGAGCAGTGTCGAGTTCTTTTTGAAGAAAAGCTTTATGTTCACGTAAAGCTTTGACCTGATCCTCGCTGGCGGCCAACTGGGATGAAAGTTCATTACTTTGAGAAGCTTTAGAAAACAACTTTCGATTTTCCTCTTCTAAAGCGGAAAGCCTCATATATGCCTGTGCCTCGGCCTGCGTGGCAATGTTAAGCTTCTTTTGTAGTTCTTCGTTCTTTTCTGAAATTGCTAGACCTAAACGTGCAGCTATATCCAAGTTATTCGCTATGTCGTCTTTTTCTTGCTCTTTTTGTATGAGCATACTCCTAAGAACTTCTTTGTCGTCAATGGAGTTGACCTAATATAAATTTTGAAAGTTATTTAGTAAAGAATATAAAAAATATATATCATTTTCTTTACTAAAAGAATTACCGCGTCGATGAAAATTCGTCTTTCGGTCACTACTGTAAATTAGAGTGGAAATAGAAAAAAAAAATATGTTAAAAATGAGCGAAAAGTTATTTCAACAAGGTTAATAACAAAAACATACCAGGGGACATTGCACAAAGTTGAGAGAGAAGTGGGTCGATATCACTAATTTGGTTCTCAATGTGATTTTCAATTTCAATTTCAGTTTCAGAGTCGTTTATCTCGTTTATCTCGTTTGCGTCGTTTCCTTCGTTTTGTTCGATCGGTTCGATAACTTCGTTGATGCTGTTGTCAGTGTTATCGTTGTTGTTATCGTTGTTATTATTGTTCTGATAAAGTAAAAAGAAAGAAATCAATTTATATAAGTCCCAAAGGTTGTGGCAAACTACTTGTTACGCCGCACCTTTATTATATTATTGTGTATGAAAACTTAATATATATTATACATATATACATAAATATTTCTGAACACAAACTTTCTCAAACATTTTTTTTCATGTAAGGTGAATGAAGTAAAACCGACTCCACCATAAATAAAGAAAAGTTCACTTACTGATTCGTAATCTGCGGGCATATGGCTCATTATTTGAGTTATTACAAGAAAACCAACGTGGCAGAGAAATCAAAAAAAAGGCAAGCAAGACTTGCTTAGTTGAAAATTAGAGAGGAAAATAAAATAAAAGAAGGTATGGTAAAAAAAAAAAAAAAAATTGTTTTTCTTCCTTGCGTGCTGTTTTTTTTTAATATATTGTCGGTGAAAAAATTAAATAGTTTGTTTTGATATATCAAAAAAAAAAATGTTACAGTTCGCAAGGAGTAAAACAAAAAGGGACATATGGAACTTTAAAAAAATGTAAGAAACAGTTTTATTGAAAGCATGACACTTTTTACGATGTAAATACCCCCGACAAATTTATTAATGGAAATCTGTCAAACATGTGTTACAAAAAGCAAAATAAAGAAAAATTGTGTATAAATGAGCCACATACATTTGAGTTGAATATATAAATAAATAGTATTACGGAAAATAAATTAACATTTTTGATCTCCTTGTTGTCAAATAATAGGAAAAAAAAAAAAGGTTGGGTTGCGCAGTTTAATCATCAACAAGTTTTTCACCTTGACACCTGAAATGAATTAAGAATGATGTAATTTCAATACTTTATTCGGTGCATTTGAATGCTTCTCATTACTACTTTGAGGAAACATCTAGTTTTTTACTCTATGGCTGAGGATATTTAAAGATTTCAACTCTGGAGTCAAAACAAGAAATACATGATAAATCTTTTTCACTTTCTTTTTTCTTTTTTTTTTTAAAAAAAAAAAGGAAACTCTTCTGTGTTTCACATCTTTTATAAAAAGAATAAACAAAAAAGAATGTTTTGGAACCAATATTTTTCATACAAGTATTTACCCCAACAGTTCGAAAGGGAAAGCTTGTCGTGTAACATTTTTTTTTTTTTTGATCCTTGTCGTTTGAAACTCACACAAAATCTTTTCCTCCGAAACAAATCTTTTTATATTGGTGGATTGAACCCCCTAAATTTTTTACCATTATACTATTATAGATATAAAAAAAGGAGTAGGACGAATTACTATTATAGTACTAGTAGAAAGCTTGAAAGGTTGAATGAATAATTATGACTAATTCATCCCTTCCTTTTTAAACCTATAATATTTGATGTGAAAATGTGGCCCAGGTTAGCGATGTGAAATTGTAAGGAATTAATTAAATCTTTTGAAATGTTTTTCGTTTCCGCGTTGCCAAGCCATTTATATAAGAAACTTGTACAGTTGACGATAACTATTGGTTCATTGTACCGATCTTATAAAAAACATCAGAGATTCAAAGAATTTCGTGTTACGAGCTAATTTCCTAAACGATAATACACGTGATATATCATACATACCCTTTTATAAAATTTCCTATTAAGGGATTAATAACAATATACCATGCGCGCACTGGCCAAAAGTCGAAAAAAGAAATCAACAACGCGTTCTTGTTCTTTTTATAGAATAGCATAATGAGCATACTGCGGCTGTGAAAGTTAACGATCCGATTGGATCGAAGGCGATCTTTTAAGATCGATTTTTAGTCCGGAATAAAAGAAACGTCAAAACATAAAATAAAATGAGCAGCATATCTCAAACAATTTTTTAACAGAGATCTAATATATTTTAGATTTTAAACAATCGTTCTGGCGGAATCATGGTTATTTATTATTATTATTATTTTTTTTAATTTAATATTTATTATTGTTTATTTGTTAATTAAGTTTAATGAGGTACTATTAACCAATGAATGGCTGTTATTTCTATTTTGATCCTCCGCCATATTTGATATGACACAATTGTTAAATAGCTAAAGTTCAAGACTTAAATGCTTCCTTCATTGATCTAGTAAAGAATGGTAAAAGAACTTTTAGATTCCTTTCGCGTCTTGCTAAAATAATCAATCAGTGTTGGTGCGGTCATGTGCGCATACACATGATTGGTGAATTTCCGAAACATATATTAATTAAAAAAATCTTAATTATATAATATTTGCGCACTACCCATTATAATTTTCTCAACCCCAATTTTTTATAATGTTTTAACGGTTTCCAATCGCGTATCGACTCAGTTTTTGAGATTGGTCCGAAATCGGTCATATGATCGAATCGCGATACAAACCGTCGTTAGCATCTCTAACTGCGGCGAACAATCGTCCAATCAAAGTTTGTTTTAGCCGAAAATCTAAAGAAAATGTTTTTTTTTTTCGATCTATACAAAGTTGTTCTGCAGTTGAGAATCTTATTCAAACATGTCCTCGTCAAGGAGACCGTCCACGCGACGATCTACCTCTCTCTATAGTCGTTCTAGACAAGAAACGCCGAAAGTATATGAACAAAGTTCAGACGTTACCGATCTAGAATCTGACGTTTCAGCAACCTATGAAGAAGAAGACGACGAAGAAACGGAGGAAACAATTAAATTAGAAGACAATAATTATCAATCGGAAGAAGAGGATATGGAAGATGAACAAGAGGATATGTTGGAAGAACCGGAAGAAGAGGAAGAAGAAGTTGAAGAACATGAAGAAGATTTAGAGGTACCAATCGACGATGATATAGACATAGAAATGGAAGATGCTGATGATGCTACCCCTGTTGAAGACGAGGATGATTTCGCGGTGGAGGATACTGAGGTGGAGGAGGAGGAGGAGGACGAAGAAGATGACGAACAAAGTGATTATGAGGAAGAATCGTCTTCTAGAAGGACAAGAGGACGAAGCCTGCAAACTCAAGGTCTACAACCTTCAATGAAACAGATAACTGTACAAGATAAACAAATAATTCCAAAGAAAAGAGGTATGTCACATAATTATTAAATGTAAATGTAATTGCATTGATACTTTAACTTTTGTGATGAATGGCTTTGACAAACACCATATTATTATTTATTTCGGTTATAGGAAGGTGAGATATGCTGCAACATACCTTTCCTTATATAATCTTTCTTTTGTATGATTATTAACTTTATGAGGTGTTATATAATATAATCATGTAGCATTACTGAAACATCTTCATCTTCACATGGCAATCGAATACTTACAAAGCGACAACGAGCTAAACTTAATGAAAATTATCAACAGGATCTGTTGCAGCTCCCCATGGGTGATGCATAACTTGTTTTGATCTTTGCTTTGAATCAATCAATTATATTTTAGTCGCAAAAGTTAATATGATACTATATATTTTTTTAAATCCTTTAGAGCCAATGAAAAAGAAACATATGACCGAGGAAGAAATCGCTTTGAAAAAGTCCGAGATCGCAAGACGAAGAAAACATCAGAGCATACAGCGCGCAGAACAAGACAAAGTAAATTTTTATTCGGAAATGATTCGCGGAGAATATATTATTTATATTTTATATATATATATATATTTTTTTACTTAAAATGATTAGATGGATACAATTAATCGTCTCTTGAAGAAACAATCTACAAAAAGACGAACAAGAGATCAAGATGATACAGATAGTGTACAAAATGATTCTAGTAGTACTAGTTCCTTGCCACCCTCGTCACTCCACTATGTGAATACTGTCGAAGGTGCAACTTTGTCATTTCCGATCGGGATTGACATACAAATACAATGCGAAAAGGGGCCAAAGTAAGGATCTTAATAATCTTATTTTTTATTTTTTTACGAAGAAACTAAATTTCTTGATTGATTTGGTTAAGATATCCTCCACCTGTTCCAAATTGTGCATTTCCTGGTTGTGATGTTCCAAAGAGATATTGTAGTGTCAAAACCCTTAAATATGCTTGTTCAATGGATCACTTACATAAATTAGAGTCCAAAGGATGAGTATCAATAGGGAGTGAATATTTCATTAGACATTTTTGATTCTGCTTTGTCTGCTTTACTTATCTTCTAAATTTATATATGGCTTCTGGAATGTCGTATTTAATTTAAAAAAATTACAATAATTATTAATTCAATTTAGGTAATTTTAATAATAATGTCGCGAAACAAAAAATTATGAGGAATCTTCTTATTATAAAATCACGTGATATTACCTAAAAATTTATGATATGCCGGATCCTAATGCATTTTAAAGATGGTTCACGTGATCAATGGGTTGCTGTTAACAAAAAAATCTAATAGTTCTAAATACAATTCAAATATATGATGATTTTATAAAAATAAAATTACTCAAATTTATATGAAAAAACATATATGGTAAATAAAAGTTTTTGAATTTATTTAGCATATTGAAGTTTCAAATATTACTAATTAAATCAATCAAAAGTTTGATATCATTAATAATCTTATAAATTTTGTTAATTTAATTACAAGTTATTAAAAAAGATAATATCCTATTCAAATAATTTGCAGATACAGTCAACCTTCTTTAAATGCATCCTTCTTGGGATTATAGTGAAAATTTTAAAAAATGTGTATTTAAGGAGGGTATGCATTTAAAGAGAAAATTTCTATATGAATTATATATGCACAAGAACATGTATTTAGAAAGAAAATATATGGGGTCTTTGCAATAGAAAGAGAGGAAATTCCAAAAAAATTAAAATTTTAGTTTATAAGCCAAAAATGTTCTAAATACTATAATTTGTTCAGATTTATTATTAACTCATTTTTTATTTTTTTTTGAGTTTCCTCCCTTTCTATTGCAAAGGTCTCATATAGTATATGTAATTAGAGAGAATGCATTTAGAGAGGGTTGATTGTACAAACATTTGCATAGCAATATCAATATGGTTATTATACAAATGACCATATTAATAATAAAAAAATCAATATATTAATAATATATATAAAGTTGCTTATTTAAACTCATTTTAGATTTGGTAAAATGTTTAAACTTTAATGATATTTATAATAAAAGAAAATGATTAACCAGTAATCAGTAAATTAGTTACTTTCTATAGAAGATTATAATCATAATAAATTATACTACACATCACTGTACTATTCAATTAAGCTATCATTAATATTTAATAGAAAATTTGTTATAAAAATTCCATAAAAATACATATAGTTTTTATGAAATTTCAGTATAATATAATAGGACTTCAAATTATACATATAAACTGAAATCTGATTTTATATAAATTTATTATGTAATTTTCTGATAAGTCATATATTAGATTTATATAACCAATTAGGTAATTGTTAGATAGTCAGATATTTATTTGTATAATAATAATGATCTTTAAAGCAAGTTAGATCTTTATTTTATATAATGATATTATATAAATATAAAAATATATATATATATATTTATTTATTAAAAAAAAAAATAATAAATTCATAAATTTATCAAAATTACTCACAGATAGTAAATTTGTTTATAGCAATTCTCTTTTTTAGAATACTTTATCCCTTAGTTAGAATTATTAATTGAATGATTTGTATGTTTTTTTTAGTTTAGTAAAATGTAAAATTAAATAAAAAAAAGAAACATAAAAATTTTTTCATTATGATATACTGTTAACGTGTAATTCTTGCGAACTACGACTGTTAGATGGGATATTTAAGCTGTTTATTTTTTTTAATTGAGCAGTAATCTTTCAACAGTTTACAAGCTTTAACTCAGACGATTTATCAAAATATTTATATTATCATAACGAGTTACGATTCAACAGATTGCTAGTAATACATATTTGTAAATATTGTGTTTATTCACGAATAAAATAATAGTAAAGATAAAGAAAAAGAAGAAATAAAAGAAAATAAAGAAGAAAAATAAGAAAGAGAAAAGAAACGGAATACTAAAGCTAAAGGTGATGCGGTAGGCCAGTTGCTTTTAAAACTACTAAAACTATCTTGTTAAATTTCTATCTGTCTCTCCTTTTACATGAACTAAAAGCTACCTATTTATATAAAATAACTTACATAGAAAGATATAACTAACATGTCTAGTATATTAACTATGTCTAATATGTCAACTATATCTAATATATCAACTATGTCAGCTATGTCTACTATGTTAACTATATCACATATGTCACATATATCTGACATGTCGTATATATCAGTTATGTCAAATTAGTCGATCTTTTGCGCTATATGAGTTGCGTCATATTTATCCATTCACAATACATTTCTCCTAAGAAATACCATTATCTTAGAAATATAGCAAAGAAAGGTTAGCAAAACATCTATATTATACCTATATAATTTAAATAAAAAAAGTTATTTGTTATTATGGTAAAGCTATCAAACTGGGTCATCGTTATGATGAAACTTTTTTAAATATTCACATTAATAATAGAGGACGTTTAGCTAAACAAGGAGTTTAGTCAATCCTAAATTATTTTAAACCAGTTTCTAAATTAAAGAAAATTAGAAATAATGATAGTATTAGTAATGCTAAAGAATGGGAAAGTGATGATGATAAAAAAATGGATAATGATAATTTGTTTAATATTGACGAAATAAGTGATGTAGAAAATGATTGTGAAAATGAAGTTTTAAGCGATGATAATATAATAATCCCATTAACAATAAATGAAAACCTTACCTTAGTCTTAGATCTAATATTATTCATGAATATATCAGTCGTACTTCTGCTTAGTTTGGTAAAACTAGAAAAATTAAAATTATTGCAAAGGAGCTTTTTTGTGATTTTTTTTCAAGGAATTTTTCACGTAAAAAGTTGAATTATTCACAAAAATGTTAGTTAAATCATTAATTATATGTAGAAGTAGTATAAAAATTGATCATAATTGTAAGTTAATACTGCTTTCAATTATATAATTATATAATCACATAAAAAATTTTGATTAATTATTTTTTATTAATTCAATCAAGATAACTGTGTTCATTTTATGAAGTATGAAGAATATACTAATCAAAACATTTATAAAAACTATTTTAGTTTAAAATGCAATAAAATTTTACAAAATTGAATTGCTATAGTAAAATTACCTACCATATAGTCCCGAAAATAAGCACTCCATTACACGCTCCTTTTATAGTAATTTATTTATTTGTCAAATGGAATTTATTATAATATTAGTCACGTATATACTGATAAATTCATATATATCATATAATGCTTATTTTCAGGACTATATGGTATTTCAAAGTTAAAACATATCTCAAAATATTATTTTGAAAATGATTCTCTAAAAAATTATTTAAAATATTCTGACCTTACTATCATTTGATCAATGATCAAAGATAACAAATCTAAAATAGCATCTGATATCTGGATAAAATTAGCAAAAAAAGGCATCCAAGATACTTTTAATAAAAAGCCAGTTTTTAAAGGTCTTTGTAATGTCATGTTACAAGCTATAATTCAAAAAGAAAAAAACATATCCACATAAAATTTAAAAAATATTAAAGAATTTAAAATTTTTTTCATGATTCTTGACACCTACAGTCTACGTATGTCAGATCTATTCTGATAAAATCTAGAAAGATTAACAATTTAAAGTATTAGGTATAGAAACATTTGTCATATTCTTATTATATTAAATATATTATAATAACAGATAATAATTTCTTATTTTTAGGTATTTATGTTCTAATTCTGAAGACACACTAAAAGACTCATCTCTTTGTTTTGAAAATGTAGTTCAATTCAAATGATTTTTAGATTTTGTCAGCTATGATGATCCAATTGTGGCTATGATAGATAATACTAAACTGAAGCCTTGTCTTCAGTATTCTTCACAAATTAAATATATTGTCAGCTTTATATTTTTAAATAATAAAACAAATATTAAAATATATGATAATATTTCAATTACAATTAATAAAATCAAAAAAAATAATGCAGTCGCTAAATATATGAGAGTATATATATTGCAAGTAAGTCAAAATTGTAATTAATAAATTAATATATTGGCATTAATACCAATTGATAATTAAAATTATATACTAGGTTCTATTACCAAAATTTTCTTCTGTCATTATTGCTCTTCTTCTTAACTTTAGGTCAGATAAACAGAATCAATATTGAAAATACATAAATTACTTCTAGATTTTACGCAAGAACTTAAATTGCACATAATTTCAATCAGTTCTGATAGCGTACAGGTTGAATTTAATGCATAAACTCAAGTTCAACAAATATCAACTCCCAGCAGACTTAGAATTAGTTATATACTATTCAACATTGATTTCAATTGTTCAATTTTTTCAAATATTAGTCCAGAAATATGAGTTCAGGATTCTAAACATATTAAAAAAACAGGATATAATGCAGCAATATCAAATACTCAAATTCTTACACTTAATTATTCTACTGTAAGATTTGATCATTTTACAAAATTGCTCACTCACTCTGAGAGTTCCATGTACAAATATGACATATACAAATTTGATTAGTAAGATGACGGTGCTGCTTACCAAATTTTCTGTTCTAAAATCTGATGTATTATCTTAATTCTAATAATAAAATCAAATCTGAATTTAAAGAAATATTTATATATCTATTTATAATTAGTATATTTTCAAAATTTTATAATGAAAATATGTATTGAAGTTAATTATCTTTTATCAATGTAGATGAATTAGTTGATAGTTATTTGAATCAAAATATTACTTCTATTGAACAAATAAGAATGGTGATGATATCTTATTTTTTTTACGAATTTAGCAATTTTATATAAATACATTAGTACAAAAATATTTTGAGTTTATTTTTCTCAACTAGAATTTTATAGCATCTCAAACATTTGCAATACTTGCGTTAGCTGAATCAATAGTTTTGCTTGTAAAAGCTTATAGAGATTTTTATAATTAATATCCTCTTGTTTCTTAAATATATAGTTTAGAAGCGTGTAAACATTTTTTTAGTACAACATGACAAGTCAACGCTGATTTTGATTTTGCAGAGTTATTAGAAATAGTACCTAAAATAGGTCATTATACTAAAGCGTTAAACTCAAAGGAAATATCTTTTAATAAAGATAAGTCTATACATGAAGGTAAATAAAAGATTTTTGTAATATATTATAATTTATATTAGTATATATAAAATTAAGTTACTTAATTTTAGGATATCAGTTTGAATATAATCAAAATTTTATTGAAAATAATTAAATTAATTTATTACGAACCTAGTTAAATAATGATCAAATTTATCATACATTTGATCAATCATGTCAAATAGCATGCAATCTTACCGAATATTTGAAAATGTTAATACCTGATAGCCATTTGACTTAATATTTAATGATATAGAAATTTCTAGTTCAAATGATAAAAATATACAAGATAATGAGAATTCAAATAATTATAATCTTTTTTAAGTAATTAGTCATACTGCTAAAGAAGTAGATCTTTTAAAATATAGAGAAAATGAAAGAAATGAAATAGATGTAAATGAAGAAAGCAAAATCTCATCTTTAAATGAATACAAAAACAACTTTTTTTTATTAATATAGTTGAAGTAAAAACTTCAAATAATACATTTAGTACAGGTTGCTATATTTTAATATATAATTTAAATCTCTTTTTAAAAAAATCTAACAATTTTTTTTTAATTTTTAATATTTTGATAATGTTAATGATGTAATGTTTGTTACTAGAAATGGAATTGATTTTCAAGAAATGATTTATCAACATAAAAAGCATAATACTTATACTTCTCGTAATATTGAATAGACAATCAAGATAAATAGTATAAAAATAATCAATTCAACTTCAATTAATCCTAATCAAGCAAATTATATTGTTTTTTTTTTTACTAAAAGAGAAAAAAGATGGAAGAATAAACAAAAATTTATAAGTTAATCTATTGCTAAACTTTACAAAAAGGAACAATCAAATAAATAGCAAAAAAATTTATCTAGTAACCAAAATTTAAGTAAGTTTAAATAGTTTAAATTAAAAATTATTTTATGTTAATATTTACTAAAATTCTAATTTTTTTTTAATTACATTTATAGTTAAAAATATAGAGATTGTAAATATTAATTACAATAATCCTCTTAATGAACAAGATTATATTATAGTTTATTATAAAACACAACTTTATATTGGACAAGTAATTTCTAGTTTTTATAAAATATATAGATATCATTTTTATAATTAGAAACCAATTACTGATATTAAAAATATATTATATTTAACTCTTAAAGTTTTTACTCTTGTTCATAATATTTTTTCAGCTGAAATAGAAGAAAATCATATATTAATATTACACACCATATCTAAAAAATGTTTTTTATTATTTAGATATACAGGATATACAAATATTTGATAATACTCTTTAATTGTTAGGTAAAGCAAAAACTTGTTATGATTTTTTTTAAAAAAAAGAAATAATTCATATAATTATACAAAACTAATATAATAATTAAATAAAATAAAAATAATTTTAGTTTTATATAAACTCAGATCTGAAATTGTATAATTTATAGTAAAATTTGAACTTATATGATGATTTTGTATAAAGCTTCTAATAAAATTAAATATATAAAGTTATATTAAAATTTTAAGTTTGGATCTGAGTTATATATATATTCTTCAGGGTTCTAATACAATCAACTCTTGTTATAATAAATTCTATGTCTTAAATCTCAACTTCGCTATAAGACTATAGTGAAGATTTAAGAGATTTGATTAACCAATTCATTAAAACAATATTTTTATTATATTTATTCAAAAAATTCTTTATATCAAGAGTTTGCTATATCAAGAATTGATTGTAATATATGTTTTTTCTTAAGTAAAAGTCTTAAACTTAATACAAAAAAGTGAAAAAAAATATAGATAAAACATATATTTTATAATGCTTTAACAGATGTAAAAATCACAAATTACATATATATTTTATAATATTTTAACGGATGCAAAATCACAAATAAAATATATATTTTATATGCTTTAATAGATGTAAAAATTACAAATAAACCATTTATTTTATAATGATTTAACAGATATAAAAATACAAACAAAACATATATTTTATTTCTTCATTTGTTTTGTTTACAAATTTCTAGGCAATTTTATTTATTAATTACAATCATTTTTAATTATTTTAAATATTTTAAAATAATATTATTAAAAAATTAATATTTTTATAATAAATTTTATGATGTTTTATAAGTAAATAAATTATTATAAAAAAAATTAAAATTTTAAACTTATATATCTTATTATTTATTAATATAGTGAATTCAATAAACTAAATTTATATTTTTATAATTATTAAATAATAAATTTTTAAAAATTAAAAAATTAAAAAATTAATATATTTTAATAATTATGAATTTTAAAAGTTTAAAAATATTATCATTAGATATATTATAATATGATAAAATCTAAAAATTATATTTTATTTTTTTTATAATCATTAGATATCAAAATATTTTAAATTTTCTAAAAATATTTTAGAAATAATTTTATATTTATAATTTAAGAGATAATACTTTAACAAATATAAAAATTAAAAATAAAATATATATTTTATAATACTTTAATAAATACAAAAGTTACAAATAAAATTTATATTTTATAATATTTTAATTAAATAATTTAAATTTAATTAATATAAAAAAATTTAAAAAATTAATATTTTTTAAATTTCTTTCTTTTTATATTTCTTGTTCTTTTCTATAATATTTCTTTTAACATAAATTAACCAAAATAAATATAAAAAAATGAGTATTATAAATATTTGTAAAAAAAATCTTACTTTTTTTATTTTTATTAATTGAATCTTTATTTTCTTTTTTTTATATTTATTAATTATTTATATAATAAATTAATAAGAATTTCAGATTTACTTAAATTTTTATCAATAAATTAATGTTTGTATTAAGATTAGAGGTAATGCTAATGCTCTAAACGGTTCAGTTCAGTTCAGATTATAGGCCAATCTGAAACTGAATCAAATCATAAACTGGTAAAAATTCAAACTGAACTAAAAATTTCAGATTAATCCAAAATTTCAGATTGTTTAAAATGATCCTTTATCATTTTTTGAAATGATAACTTCAATTGTTTCAAATGAATGATTTTTTTATCGTTTATTTAGAATGATAACTTCAATCATTCCAAATGAACAATTCTTTTATTGTTCTTTTAGAATAATAATTTAATTATTCTAATTGAATAATTTTTTTATCATTTGTTTGGAATGATAATTTAATCATTCTAATCGAATGATTTTTTTATTGTTCATTTAAAACAATAACTTCAATCATTCCAAATGAACAATTTTCTTATTGTTCATTTAAAACAATAACTTTAATCATTTCAAATGAATGATTTTTTTATTGTTCGTTTAGAATGATAATTTAATCGTTCTAATCAAATGATTTTTTATCATTCATTTGGAATGATAACTTCAATCGTTCTAAATGAACAATTTTTTTATCATTCATTTAGAACGATAATTTAATCATTCCAATTGAATAATTCTTTTATCATTCGTTTAGAATGATAACTTCAATCGTTCCAAATGAACAATTTCTTATCATTCATTTGGAACGATAATTTCATCGTTCTAATCAAACAATTTTTTTATTGTTCGTTTAAAATAATAACTTCAATTGTTCTAAATGAACAATTTTCTTATCATTCGTTTAAAACAATAATTTTATTATTCTAATCAAACGATTTTCTTATCATTCGTTTAGAATAATAATTTCATCATTCTAATGATCTAAAATTTCAGATTAATTCAAAATTTTCGGCTCAATTCAGATTTTTTTCAGTTCAGATTAGATTTATAATCTGAAAAAAATTTGAACTGAACTGAAAATTTTCAGATTGAAATTTTTGCAATCCAAAACTGAACTAAAGTTGATCTGAACTGAAAATTTTTAGATTAATCTGAACTGTTCAAAGCTTTAGGTAATGGCTGGTTTTACTAACTTCATTATTGATGGACTTCACTTTCATTTTTTTTTGTTTTAATATTAATTAACTTAAAATTAAATTTAAGAATTTTTATTATTATATATTAAAAATAAAAATTTAAAAGGTATCTAAATAATCTCTTAAAAGCCTTGCTTTCTTATTAATATTGAAGGTGATACTAACTTTAGTATTGACTTTAATTTTGGTAAAAACTTTAATTTTAATATTGATACTGACATTAGCATTGATATTAGTATTAATATTAACTTTAATATTAGCTTTTTTTTTGACTTTAGCTTTAGTGATAATATTATTTCTTTTTTTTTTTTGATGAAAAAATTGGCATTTATATTAACTTAGCATTAGTATTAACATTGACATTATTATTAGTATTTAACATTAATATTAACATTAGTAATAATATTGGTGATGATATTAGTTTTTTTTTGACTTTGACTTTGGTATTAGTATTGGCTTAGCTAAAGATGGTCCCCATAATTATTTTCAAATTTCAATTGAGTTGCAACTTAATTGTGCCATAAGGAAATTTAATTGCACCACAAGTTGTAACTCAATTACGCTATTTTTTTTTAATTGCGGTGACCATCTTTAGACTTAGCATTAGTATTAGTAATAATATTAGTATTACTATTAGTGATGATATTGGCATTGATATTGGTTTTGGCATTGAAATTGATATTGGCTTTAACTAAAATATAATAAAATTTTTAATTTTTAATTTTTTAAACAAATTCAAAAAACTGTTACCATTGGTAACAAATTGTGTAACTTTAAAATCTAAGCTAAATGCTTTACATCACACAATTCAAACCATTTATGCGCAGTATATTTAATTAAGCTTCTCTGAAGCTCTTTTCTCTTTGCAAGATACTTTAGTAAAAAATAGTTCACAAATCTACCCTACAGTATATACGAAAAAAAAACATTAGTGTCTGAATGGCAATATAATAGTGAAAGCAAGTACAGCGACAGATGTCATTTTTTAAGAACTTTGAGAGTAGACATCATTTCCAGACGTCTCTGATATTTTTATTTTCCTTAGTGTATATGGATAGTGAACACGAGTGACAGTGCTAATCACTGATTTATTTAATTGGCTCATTAAATCAAATCATGTAGATTTCTATGCGTAATGTAGCAATATTAAATAATTTGCTTAATGTCTGTAAAACTTGTTTAGACTTAGTAAATCTATATTTTGAGAGTACGCCTATCTCAGAATGGTTGTATATAGGATTCTTAGAAGACTGAAAACTAATCGTATCTGAAGTTCATTTTCTAGTTAATCAAAAAACTATATGGAGAAAACGATATTTTACATATTTAAGTAATGTTCTTATCAAAAAGCAGAATGGTATTAGCAAAGAGTGTGCAACTTTTCTGATTTAACAGGTTTATTAATTTTCTCTTTCGCTTTATCTCTGAACCATCAAAGGTGAAATCTTATGCAACTTGTAAGGGTATTATCCTTTTTATGACATAAGGTATCATTCCTCAATGCTGTATTTCATGGTCTTTTCTGTTATTATATAGCTTAAGAAAGGTATCATCTTTCTCTGAGTATAGGGTATCATTCCTCAGTATGAAAGTTGTGAGGTATCATTCCTCTGGAAAGATCTGCAAAATAGCATATTAGACAAGCTATCTTCTTTATTGATATTTACTAACCGCATTTTATTTCTGAGTTTTAGAAATGTTTACCTGAAGAAGAAAACTTTTGGAATATTGTAAAAACTGAAAAGATCTATTAGTAAAGAAAGTGCATATGAATGTTGATTAAGACTTCTTAAAGTATCAATAACTTTGGTTGCATTCTCATTGAACTTTTCTAGGATATTTTCAATAAACAATCATAAATTAACGCATTTAAAGTACTTTAGACTACTTGTAATCAAAAAACTGAAAAGTATGTTGATAAAGTTAAATTACATTCATCAAAATAAATTAAGATGAAAAAAGAAGAAGAATCAAATATATTATTTAGATATAAACTATCATACGATGAAGAATTACTATCAACTTCATCAAAAAAGGTGAGAACTCAGAATATAACTTAATTATTAGTCTACAAGATTTTCAACTCATTTTTTTATTGCATACAGATTAGTACTTATAGAAATGAAGAAGAAGGTATTACTCAAGAAGATGTGTTGAACTCTGTTTCTGAAATTTCTGATACCTTTGGAGAAACTAAATTTCTGGTATATTATGAGAAACTCAAGTCAATATAGCATACTCGAGATGCTGAGGCAAATTATTATATTATTAATTTGGGAGAAAATACTAAATCAGGTTCACAAACTTTTGAGCGATTATGAATTGAATTTTTTATTTGAAAGGTTAAGTTTGACAGATGAGAATGAATGTATAAGTGAGAAAACGCGTAAATATATAACACTATTTGATGAGATTATTGAGGAAGAGAGTTGTGATAACAGTGATTTAGAATTTGAAAATAATGACATAACTGATAAAAGAAATAGTGAAGAGTTTGAGAAAACCATTGCAAAAATGAAGGGAAAAATTCATCAATTAGATAGTCTATCTGAAAAATTTCATTATCTATCTAACACCTTTTCTATTCCTGCAGAGAGTTATGATCAATCAAAAACGCCTGATATTTTTGTTATTAAGAGCGTCTCTAGTCACCTTGATACAATCACAAAAATGAACGGTTTAATGAGAAATACTCCTGAACGTATATGAACAGCTCATGTATTAGCTTTTTTTTGTCACATTTTGTTTTATCGATTCATTGCAGTATTTCTCATGTGAATGAGATATTTTTACCAAAATCGATAATGGATATAAAGCTAATAGTGTCTTAGAGTTTTTTAAACGATCAAGGCAAATTCTGTTATTTTTGCTTGAGGTTTTAGAAGGTCCTAATAATCCAGACCCAGTTAAAATTAGTAAAGATAGAAAAAGTTGATGAATAAGAGTGTTTTTTCTTTTAATAAGTTTATGATATGCACTGAATTACTGAATGGAAAGTGTGTAAAACGTTAGGTATTTTTCTGGCTCAGGGATCTGATAAAATTTTAAAATATTTTGATCCTGCAGGTGTTTCTTTTGCTTCGAATATAATATATTTCTTGTTTATTTGCTTGTAGCCGATAAAGTTGAGATTGGACAAATAATATTCATTAGGCCTGACTTGTACTTTTTTTCACCATTTACAATTCTAGCTCTTACCATTTCAATTTCCAACACCTATCTAGAACATACACCTAGACTCATCTGAACACTCTTGTATTTACGATACAATATTATCAAAAAAATTGAGAAGTTTGAGGAGTTTATAAGGGAAGGTTAGCAACACATTATGAAGCTTAGAAATAAGTATACAACTAGAGTTACAGTTGAATGATCTAGAGTTGTTACCCTTACACAATACTTACCAAAAGTATCAAAAAAGAATAGTAAAGTGAGTAGAAGGAGGGGAAGAGGTCAAAGGAAACAGAAAGATTCTGTATGAGCTATAATCTGATATATTAGTAAAATTTTCAATAATCTGTGATTTCAATATTTAGTATTGAACCAATTGTTTGTGCAAAAATAATAGTTTTTCGTAGTATAACTTTTTGTATTTTTTCACTTCATATTTGTAATAAGCCATAAATAAAAATTTGCAATAATCGTGAAAGTTTTATAAACAAGCTTTATATTTGCGATATAAAGGAATTAAAATTCAGTTATGGTAAGATAAAGCTAATACTTTCGTTAAAGAAGAAGTTAGAAAATAAATTCCTGAAACAAAATTTTCTGATGATGTTTTGTGAAGAAAGGGAAAGGGCTGAGAAAATCTATAAGCTTTCTAATAGTATTAGTAAATTAAAAATAGTACAAATTAGATCTTTTCTTATAAGATCTAATTTAAATTTATCTGATAATAATGTTGACCAAGTCATTGTAGTAAAAGTGATTTTTGTTTCAAATTGAAACAGACACAATGACTTTTTTATTTTAAATACTTATATAAAAAGTGTTATCAAATGAAATTTGAGATTGACTATTTTACTTATATTCTATTTATTAAATTAGTTAGTTTATAGCATAGTAAATAGTTAGCTATAATAAAGAAATTTTTTATAAATAGATAGACTTTTTGCTTATGTTATAAATTAACTCTTTTGCAAATCAAATTAACTTTCTTGCGAATACAAGTTTCAATATTAATAAAAGAATCATTCAAAGCTTATATCTTTCTGCCTCTTTATGTCTTTATATAGTCTGACATGATCCTTACATATTATTTGTAATTGAGTTCATCATCTAAATTCTTTAATTAAATTATTTATAATCTCGTCTTTCAAGTCTTCATATTTGATAGATTTGTTTAAGTTTAAAGTGTAGATTTAGTAAAGTTAAGAGTTAGGCAAATCCTAACGTCTTAGCTACAGTAAACTGCAGTTAATAGCCTCAAGTAGAGACTTGATAACGTGATCAGCATGAATTGAAGAATTTTACAGTGATAACATTTAATACAAATTTACTACCTATTTTACTATTTCTTTACTATCAGTTCCTATAAATTCGCTATATATTTAATATACTTCAATATCACTTTTATATGATTTTAAATAAATCAGATAACGATTTTTTTAATATGCATCAATTTAATTTATATAACTCAATTTGCGTTATTGTAATATTGTAAAATTAGGTCTTAGTTATAAGATTTATAATAAATTTTCAATTTGATCTTAATTTTAAAAATTCAGCAAAATATATCTTGAATCAAACTCTATTATATCCTAAACTTTACTGAAATTATCTCAACCATCTCTTAACTATTTTCTAAATTTAACCTTATCTATATTTTAAATTTATTTTAATACTTATCTAAACTTAACCCTAAATTAATTCAAATATATCCTAAACTTAATTTAAATTTAACTCAACTATATCTCTAAAATTAATCTAATTATAATTTTATCTTAATCTGATTCTTATTCAATTATAATTCTAATAACTAACCCTAAAAACTAATCATGCTAATTTAATAAAATTCAAATTTATATATAAAATTTAAAAAACTTGAAAGAAAACAATTAATAAAAACAATTAATATAAAATTAAATTTAAAATTAATTAATTTAAAATAAAAATTAATTAAATATTTAATAACTATTAATTAAAATTTAAAATCAATTAAATATTATAAAATAAGCTATTTATAAAAATACTAAATATGAGTAAGTATTAGAATTAAAATTAAAATTAGGATTAAGTAATTTATTAAAAAACTTTACTAAACTTTACATTTTTTTGTCATAATAATGATTCTAGATCATCATTTAAGTAAAATTACTAGTATTATATATAATTATTTTAATAAACTATGTTAAAATTTATTGCTAAAAAAAATGAATATTTAAAATAAGAAGAATTATTTAATTATAAAATTTCTAATAATTAATTCAAAATAATTAGAATTGATATGTATATTTACAAAAATCTTTAATAATAATTTTTATTATAGGACTACATGGTTTTGATTTAATTAGTTAATATTTTAATGTATACTTTTCAATTAAAAATATTAAATCATATGATTTTTATTATATTAATTAGCATAATTTTACTAATTACAGTAACACCTCTATAAGTACATGCACTTAGGGCCAGCTATACACATGCACTTATAGGGAATGTGCACTTATAGAATAGTTAATAAAAAAATAGATTTTATTACATAAATTAAAAATCTGACAAAACTTTAAATTTAAAAAGTATTTATTTAAAACCATGTATTTAAACTAATTTTATATATTTTTAAACTCAAATGTATTATTTAATCTCAAATAAACTCAGTTTATTTTTTAATATACAAAAGTAATATATTTAGAACTTTTACAAGTAGAATTGACTATATGAGTAAGGAAGAATACATCTATCCTAGAATCACAGACTAATGCTTCAAACGGTTCAATCTAAATTATAGGCTAATCTAAAACTGAACTGAAAATTTCAGTTCGATTCAGTTCAGATTATAAATCCTAAAAATGCTAATCTGAAACTGAACTGAACTATAAACTGGTAAAAATTCAAACTGAACTTAAAATTTTAGAATAATTTAAAATTTCAGATCATTTGAAATGATCCTTTTATCGTTCTTTTGGAATAATAATTTAATCATTCTGATCGAACAATTTTTTATCATTCATTTAGAACGATAATTTGATTATTCTAATTGAACAATTTTCTTATCGTTCATTTAGAATGATAACTTCAATCATTTTAAATAAATAATTTTCTTATTGTTCATTTGAAATGATAATTTCATCGTTTCAATTAAATGATTTTTTTATTGTTCGTTTGAAACAATAACTTCAATCATTTCAAATGAATGATTCTTTTATAATTCATTAAAACAATAATTTAATTATTCCAATTGAACGATTCTTTATCGTTAATTGGAATAATAACTTCAATCATTCTAAATGAATGATTATTCATTGTTTTAATTGAACGATTTTTTTATCGTTCATTTGGAATGATAATTTCATCATTCTAATCAAATGATTTTCTTATCATTCGTTTGGAATGATAACTTCAATCATTTCAAATAAACGATTCTTTTATCATTCATTTAAAATGATAATTTAATCATTCTAATCGAACAATTCTTTTATCATTCATTTAGAATAATAATTTCATTATTTTAATCGAACGATCCTTTTATCATTCGTTTAGAACGATAATTTCATCATTTCAAATGATCTGAAATTTCAGATTAATCTGAAATTTTCAGTTCAGTTCAGATTTTTTTCAGTTTAGATTAGATTTATAAT